TTAGCTGAGTTTGCTGACAATAATAGTTATCAGGCGAGTATTCGCATGGCACCGTACGAGGCTCTGTATGGACGTAGATGTCGTACTCCTATATGTTGGACAGAGTTGCATGATAGAAAAACTTTGGGTCCAGACTTGGTTCGAGAGACTGAAGATACTGTCAGACTGATCCGTGATCGCTTAAGAGAGGCATTTGATAGGCAGAAGTCATACGCAGATAAGTGACGTAAGGATATCGAGTTCGAGGTTGGAGATCAGATTTTTCTCAAGGTATCTCCATGGAAGAAGGTATTGAGATTTGGACATAAAGGTAAACTGAGTTCGCGATTTATTGGGCCGTATCGTATTCTGAAGAAAGTTGGACCTGTTGCTTATCAGCTTGAGTTGCCTTCCCAGCTCAGTCGTATTCATGATGTTTTTCATGTTTTTATGTTGAGGCGATACCATCCAGATCCAGATCACATCATTCAGGTTGATGAGGTAGAGCTGAGACCTGATTTGTCAAATGAGGAGGAGCCTGTTCAGGTTTTAGAGAGGGATGAGCGAGTTCTTCGGAATAGGCGTATCCCAATGGTCAAAGTTCAGTGGAGTAATCGTAGCCCCTCAGAAGCTACTTGGGAGACATTGGAGTTAATGGAGGTTCAATTTCCTCATCTGTTTTCATAAGGTAAATTTCGAGGACGAAATTTCTTGTAGAGGGGGAGAATTGTAACAACCCGAAAATTTCAAAATAATATTTAATTGGGAATTGAGGTTTTAATTGTGAAAATTGGTGGATTTTTGGGGACTAAATTGGAAGTTTTTAAAACTTGAAGCTTGTTTTAGAGTTAAAGAAAATTCAGGGACCAAGCCCTGAATTTACCGTAAAATGTTAGGTATGGGTTGTTATATACGTGAATTGGTTTCTGAAAATCAGAAACCAATTCCTCCCAAATTCCCTCTCCCAACCTCAACTTCCGACGACGATCCCGACGCCGTCCGAATTCCGATCGTCATTTTAAAACCACCATAATGTTCATCATCGAGCGAGGAACAAACCCTTCAATTTAATTGAAGCGAAACACTGCCAAACGCCGTGAATTTCAAGTTAAAGCATCGACGTTTTTTTAGCTCAATCGCCTAGAAAATCCTAAATTCATCGTCGATCGTTGCTCCGTTTACGACACCTCCCGCACCATCGTGTTCCTTGTGCCGTTCCGAGTCCGCCGGTGTCATCCTCGGTCTCCGTTGACGGCGGCGCGTGGGGAGGTGAACCGATCAAAGTTTTCGATTTGATGAAATCGAGCTCTCCGCCGTTCAAAAATTTGAATCGATCTTTGTAAGTATCTCGAAATCGCTCAAAATAATTTTTAGAAATTTTTCCGTGATTTTTAGAGCCCCGGAGGACACCTCACGCGCCCACACGCGCCGCTGTAGGCGAGTGAAATCTAGAAACCGGTTTTGAACCGGTTTTGACCGGTTTGACCGGTCATGACCCGTTGACCCGACCCGACCCGACCGTTGACCGTTGACCGGTGCTATTCTGAGAATTAATTCAGTTTCAGTGCTATTCTGGGAATTAATTCGAAATGGGTGCCATTTTAGTAATTTTTTTGAAAAAAAAAATGATATTTTGGGAATTAATTCGAAATTGGTGCTATTTTGAGAATTAATTCGAAAAGGGTGCTATTTTGGTAATTATTTTAAAAAGGGCGCTATTTGTGTAAAATGTTTGACAGTTTGTTGACCTTCTTTGACCAGAACTTTGACCGGCTATTAAACGACCTTTGTTTTCGACCGAGTATACCTATCCTGACATTTTTCGACGTTCCAAATCCGAATCCAAAGTCCGTTTCACCAAATTCGAACTCGAAAGTCTCCAAATTGTCAGTCAAACCCTTTTTCTTTGACTTTGACCAAGAATTTAAATATACGAAAAGTCATACTTTATGTTTTTCGACGTCCTGAATCTGATTCTGAAGTCTGTTTTGCAAAATTCTGATCCGAAATTCCCGAATCGAGCTTGTAAACCCAAAAAGGCTTAATATTTTAATATTTTGATTATTTAATTGAGATTTGGTCAAGGATTTATTCAATGAAAATATTTTATGAAGGTACTCGTGTTTCACCTGAGCAAGGAACAATTAGGTTCGGTGTTATCCATTTGTCAGATCAGTCTGAACCGCGTAATACGAGAATTACCCGTAGATTTCCGTATATTATTTAAATAATATTTAGATTATTTATATTAGGATTCCAATATGGATTTTTCCAATTCGTAGGATCTAGCGCTGCAGCAGAACGTGATCGACAGACCCAGTAATAGGCTTCCCTATCTGATTCCCAGACTGTTACAGGTGTGTTTCCTGACAGTGTTATTTTACCATTTTAAACTATCATATAAATAGTTTATCTGATTTTTGACATGGATTCTGATATGATATTTGACCTGAATTTTTATATGATACTTGACATGGACTCTGTTTTGTACTTGACCTGAATTATGTTTTAATTTTTGATATACATATATCCGTTATAAGCAGAATATGATTATTTTGGGGGGGATAATGTTGGAGGAAGCATACCTGGAGGTTCCTCTACTGTGTGCTCATGACCTTATTTACTGGCTCCTCTGCTGTGTGCTCAGGGTCTTACTGGACTTGTTGGTGGGTGTATGGTTCTGGGGAATCTACACAATTTGGACTTGATGGATGGGGGTAGTATTCATATAAAAAAAATTATATATATAAATCATGTTTGATAACTGATTTTACTGGAATATTTTATTTGTACGTTTTATACACTGTTTGGAGCACACTGAGCTTTTTAGCTCATTCTATAGTTTTTACCCTTTTTCAGATAACAGTAGACCATAAGCTAGCAGATTTGGCATTAGAGGAGATCAACTACTTATTTTGTACGAACATATATTTCTATATGTTTTTCAGTTATATTTGGTGACATGTATTTGCTATCGTTTTGGACATATCTGTAATATTAATATATTTTGTGTAATATTCTATAAGTTGTAAAAAAAACTCTGAAAGGGATATGTGACCACTTAGGTTTGGGTCTAATTTACAGATCGGGTTTGGGGTTACAAATTATCTACTATACCCAGAAATTAAGATTTAAAGAAATTAAATTTGGGTAAAAGTGAAGATCCTTTAGGTAGGAAAACCTAAAAGTTATTCAGTGAATAAGATTATACCGAGACAACCTCCTTACTTGGGATAGACTTAAAATATTTTCTATATAACCTATTTCAATTAATGGAATAGAAAAATGAAGTAAAATGTTAATTAATGGTCTCAAAACTAGGATATTGAGGTAGAGTGTATGTATATTATCCACCAAATTAAAGTATATATTTAATTCAAATTTATACATTATAAATAATTATTAAATTAAATCTTTTTATTATAAAAATGAGATTAATTTTTAATAAATTTAAATTAAATTTATTTTATAATTTAATACATATAATTATTAAATCAAATAATTTTAAATTTAACTCATAATTTTAAAATTTTATAAAAAATAAAGTGTTCGGACATAATAATTAATTGAGTTTGAAATATTTTCATTTAATTTTTTATTTAAATATTTTTTAGAGATATTAAAAATAGTAAAACGGTCCTGAGATTAATTTACCTTAACTAAAATTTTTACTAGAGTATTCAAAATTTTATTAAACAATTGTACTCAAAAAATTTAAATAGAACTTTATAAAGTTAATTAATAATTGATTTGGATATTTTATTTTTAATAAAAATAAAAATTATTAATTAAATTTAAGAATTACGTGTAATGTATAAATTAAACTTAACAAAATTAAACTTCTGACGAAACCCATGCCACCATAGGCTTTACCAACACTAAGAGCCGTCACGTGGTCCAATGACCGCGGATTGCCACCTTGATTATGAGCTTTCTGCCACCAGACTTGATCAGAATGGGAGCCGCTGATTATGAACTTAGTAATAGGGTTTATGTTAATACAAGTTAAGGCTGAAATAATGTCAAGAAAAAATAAACAAATCTGATTTTTTATTGAAGAAATAAAATCGATCAGAGTTGCATGAATCAGTTTATTTCAGTGATTAAAAAAGTCGTTATTTTTAAAAGTTACGAGTAAAACACTAACTACTGTAAGAGTAATTGGATATTCATTATTAAATATTAAAAATATTTATAACAAATATTATTTTATAATCATTTTAATTTAATTAAAAAAATAAATCCGATGTACATTCTGGCCTGTTGCGGATGATTCGGTTTTTAGAGCACTATAGAAGTTCAACAATAATACAAAACAATTAACAAACTACTTTTTTCTCTCTTAATTTACCACACCGCTTGCTTCTTTCTTTCATCTTTGTTTCATAAATAAATATATTAATTTTAATATTAATAGTCGACTGTCAATATTTTTTAATTTTATTTTTTTATTTAATAAAAGTTGTTGCTCTAAAAAAATATCATAGACATCAACGGTACAATAGTACAAGCGATTCTTCTGAAAAAAATACCAACAACAACAACAATAACAATAGTACTAACATCAATACCAACAGGAGTTGATGAACAATGGCATATTTGAAACTCCCATGTACTTTTTTTCTTTACAATTTTTGTTATAAACGATAAATCAAATTAATTTTTTCTTTTTAATTAAGTTTATCGCTAATATGGTTCATCTATAATGACTTTTTTCAATAAATGCCGCAATTTATCAGTACATTAGTAGCGTTTATATACAAACGCCGCTATAGACTCGTACTTTAGTAGTATTTGTAACCTTTACGGTTTCTAAGTCTCGTGTCCCTTTAAACCTTTTTTCATTTTTTTCCCTTCTCCAATTTTTTCATTCCCGCCGTTTATCCAAACCCATCTACTGCTTTTTCTCCAGTGGAGGTCTCTTCTTCTCAGCCCTTCGATCAACTTTGACGATTACGACACAAACCTTCTCCGTCATCAACAAGAAACCTCATCGTCTTCTTGGCGTCTCCGAATTTATGGATTCACAAGAACTCCCCGATAATGGTAACAAGGGTTTCCTCTACATGTTGCTTCGAATTGCTTTTGCCCTTTTTTTTTTTCCTATCCTCGCTTTCTTTTCCTTCTCATTTCTAGTCGGGGTCCTTGCCATTTTCGTGGAGGAACTATCAATTTCAGATCCGATTTTCATGGCCACACAGTGCAAGATAGTCTCGAGCAGTAAATTTATCTCCATTTCTCTTGCTGATCAAACGTTGAAATTTCCTTCTATAACAATTTAAGTATGTTTTAATTATCATCTATTTAATTTTAGCAAAATTTCCTGGTATAGCTAGCGAATTTGCTTATGATATTGTTATTTAATGTATATTTTCAGTTATGGATTTTCCCCTTGTAGTATCTAGGTAATGCAAGCTTGCTTCTTTTTGTATATTTTTTCCCTTGGAAATTTGACATCAGGTGTGGATATTAGGTCGTCGAAGGTTTGTGAGCTTGGATTATTGAATTATAAAGCAAAACATGTATTTTATCATTCCAAAAACAGCAAATTTAAATGTAGATATGATTACTACTGGAGTTCAGTGTTCAAGGTAATAATATCTTATCTGTTTTAAGTCATGAGTCCCTTTTTAGTAGTAATAATTTTGGAAACTATGGATTTTCTTTAGCTTTGGCAAATATGCATGGTCATCTTCATTTTTCAATGATTATAAATTGGATGGTTTTTAAGTTTGCATTTCCATCTTAATGTTTTCCTAGGAAGTTCTACCATGCGGCAGCCTTAATATACGACTAATGAAAGGCGTTACCGATTTTGTTATTATTTTTTTAACATTTCCAGTAAAAAATTACCTAAAACATTATTATTTCTACCTAAAATATTAATGTTTTATAACATTTCCGGTAAAGTGCCCAATAATAACAAAACCGGTAGAAAAAATAATATTTTCGGTAGCGCTTTACCGGATATGTTAAAAAACCGGTAAAGCGCCCAATAATAACAAAACCGATAGGAATAATAATGTTTTAGGTAAATTTTTTACTGGAAATGTTAAAAAAATAATAACAAAACCGGTAGCGCCTTTCCTTAACTGTATATTAAGGCTGCCGCACGTGAGACTTCCCCGTTTTCCTATGATAATATTTCAATTGGTTTTTACATTTTCCAATTCTTGGTGTGCTAATTGATTAGTTTATGATAATATTACTTTGTAGGAAGGCAGCAATGCAATTTTAGGTAGTCTAAACTATGCCCTTTTACATAGTTTCAGCTTAACTATGGCAGGTAGAGTACAGAGACCATTCTTTAGGTCAGATGCAATTTGCCATGGCAGAGGCACCGAATGAAGCCCTTCCACTAAGTTGCAGGCCTAACTTTGGTTCTGCTTGGTTAACCAAAGATAAGTTCAAGGTAGTGCTTTTCAAGTTTATATTGATACTCATGACGATGCACAGACCTGATTCATCCTTTTAAAAGTGCAATTTTATATAATTGAATATGTACTCCTTTGCAGGTAAATTGAATTTGTAGTCCTTTGCAGTTAAATGAATCGAATCTTGCTGAAGTTTCTTGAATGTCATCTGTGATTGTCACGATCCGGGAATCAAGGAAATGGTCGGAAGCTAATGTTTAGATTCGAATCTTAAATTTGTTGAATGTCATTTTTTTTAGAATTGTTGCATTAGTGAATTGAATTCAAGGTTCAATTACTGAACTAACACATTGAGGTGATGAATTGCAGCTGGCTACTAATACTTTGGAAATGGTTGCACCACTTACACATGCAGTCAGAGACAATATTGCCTCTGAATCCATTGTTTTCATTGTTGTTTGAATTGAAGTTACATTTTTGACGAAAAGAATCAATTGAAGTTGCAGATCAATACAAATTGTCACTAGAAGATTATTTTTTTTCTAGTGAACAATGTTTTTTTTTAATTGAAAGAGAAAGAACCTAGACTAAATTCTAGTGAACAATGTTGAACTATGTTAATTTTAATTTAATTTTATAACTTTTGATTTATTTTTCTACATAATTTGTGTCGTAATTAAATTTTAAGTTTATTGTTATTAGATAATGCTATAGAATATTAAATTTGCATAATATAAAGTAGAAAATGATATATGAGAAATCAATTAACTATAGCGACATTTGAAAATAAAAGGCACCAGAATTCAGGTTCTTTTGCGACGTTTTGTGAAGGAAACGCAAATGACTACACATTTGTTGCGTTTGTAAAAAAATGTCACTATATACATACTTAATAAAGGTGTTTTTACCATAAACGCCGCTAAATATCATAACATGTAGCGGCATTTTAGAAAACAAACGCCACTAAAGACAAGGTAATTAGCGGCGTTTAAGAAAAACGCCGCTATAGAGGTTGACCTTTTGCACAAACGCTAATACCTTTTGCGGCATTAGTTTAACGGCGCTTCTTGCAACGTTTTTACTTACACTGGGAATGTTTTTAGTGGCGCTTAAAAATTCCGCTATAGAACTAAAAAATGCCGCTATAGAATTAAAAAAACGTCATTAAAAACCTATTTTGAGTAGTGGTACTAACATCAATACCAACCGGAGTTGCTGAACAATGGCATATTTGAAACTATAGAATCAAAATTATTTATAAAGAAGAGAAGGTAACTCGTCTAAGTGCTCTCCCTCTCCCATGTCCTTTTTTTTTCTTTACAATTTTTGCTATAATCTATAAATCAAATTAATTTTTTCTTCTTAATTATGTTTAGTCGTCGACGACACCGATTTTAATGTGTTGATCGTCATTTTTTTTCTTTGTTTCTCTTTTAGTTTATTAATAAAAATAATTATGTTTTTGTGACATATTTATCTCTAGTTTTGTGACATGGTTATCTATGCCTTTGTGGTAAGTTTTTCATTTTCTTTCTAGATTGTTTGGTCGTCTCTTTTATTTTATGTTTTCTCAATGTTGGATTTGACGATGTCACGACTGATCAAGATGACGCTTATTTTTAACCTTGTTGATTTTTCCAGCTATTGACCCTCATATTGAAATTATATATGCGATTTTACGTTCGTGAATAGTTTCTCACGCCGTTCAGTTCTGATTTGCAATTCTCGATGGTTTAATCCATTTTGTGATTCGTTTGCCAATACAATTAAATTTATTTATATTTATTTATTTTCCGAGTCTTTTAGTTGAATTTACAACTTTTTGCATGTATGATTTTTATATGAGCTAAAATGACTAGTTTTATTCTAATTTTGGATATTTTCATTTTTTTTAGTAAAACAAACAACTTCTATTAAGAAAAACTCGTCTAAATGGATTTATTTTTATTGTAACAGGACCTTCCAGATTGTCCTTTTATAAGCAAATTACCATAATAACACAAACAAAAAAGGATACATTATGCGAATGATCACTAAAGTTTAAATAATTTTTTGTTTTTCTCATTTAACTTTTAAAAGTTACAAATTAATCAATAACACTATTGATTTGTAATAAAATGATCACTCACATTGTCATCCCCGTTAAATTGATGATGTGTCAACGTTAAGAAAAGGTAAATATTTAGTTTTACTCTTAAATTACTGCTAAAACATTAAATAAATCCTAAAACAATGATTTTACATCTAATTTATCCCAAAATTTTTCGATTTCAATTTTTTTAAATACCCACCTACGCCGCCACCGTATTCCTCTCCTCCCCTCCCCGTCTCACAAAACTGATAAGGGCAGAAACTTGACTTGCTCATACACATGCAAAGAGAATTCAAGGATGAAGTCAAGGTTATATTACCTGCTCTTGCTTGAACCAGGAAGCTTTATCAGTGTTTCAATGCCAGCTACATGGATAAAATCATAAATACAGAGTGCAAACAACAATCAAGATCATTAGGAAATCATAATGTTTACCATAGTGACTATACATAATGCACAAATAAATCGGAACCAGAAGACAAGCAACCATAACAAACACTAAAAGAAGGATAAGGATTAAACAAGTATTTAGTTTGAAAGTTAAACAGTGCAGTACAAAATTATGGCTCCAGTTGAATAATCACTTGTCCAACTAAATTATCTAATCCAAGCTAGTACCAATTCTATGGGAGGTTCAGTCAAACAAAGGGATAAGCAGCTGAAGGTTTTCTCAGGGCAGAACGGAGCAAACATGGTATTTCCATGGGGAGAATTGTCACATATAGTAGATGACAAGGCACTAGCCGTATACTCTTGTTTTTGGACGGGTAACAAATTCTTAGCCTTTTCAGAAAAAAAGGATAAAAAACCCAACAGTAACACTAACACACCAATCATGGTATACTCCAATAAAGCCTTTGTTATATATAACACCAAGAGTTAGTGGCTTTCCAGCATGCACAACATTCGTCGCTTTTACTGGATGCGAAGTAAGTGCAGTTGCAAAACCTCAAAAAAATGCATTCATGTCCATGACATCGTGTAACACCCCCAACCCGTATCCGACCCGGATACGAGTCCGAAGTGTCACATTGACTTTTCAAACATTTATTCGTATAAAATAGTGAGTAATTTAAAAACTTTAATAACATTTAAATTATTTCAAAACGTTTACAACAGATATCAGAGTTCATACCATTTATATCTTTAGACTGCATGCCAACTACACTCTGTAAACAGTACATACATTTTCTGATCTGACATTTGGTAAGGAGAACTGACCTGTCTTGCTCCGCATTACTCTTTATTATTCTCGAAACCTACGTGTGAAACAATCACACGCTAAGTCGTTGACTTAGTGAGGCAATAATTAAACATATAACAATAAATTCATGAACGTGCATTCATACCATTGAATCATGACATTTCAATATGCATGTATCTATTGCATGATAACAATATATATAATCATGTCATACACACACGCAACATATCTTCTTGTATTACTTTCACTTTTCGTTTGTCTTCCAATTGCATTGCCCATGTATATTATTATCTTTATCAACATCATTATAATTCAAGCAACACATGACATATCACCATAAGTATATACATCACATATATCTTATACATTACATTCCATGTTATCTCTTATTAGCCCATGTGCACCTGTGAGAACTGTAGATATGTGAGTCTATTGAGGTTGTGCACCACTATGCTGTCACCACAGCTCATATAAATGTCCCGAAGGACCTATCCAGAGGTCACACAGACCCCGGTAACTATCCAGAGGTCATAAAGATCCTCGGTAACTGTCCAGAGGTCATAAAGATCCTCGGTAAACTGTCCATATGTTCCTTAGAACATAGGTATACTGTCCATATGTCTCGAAAGACATAGGTAAAACTGTCCATATGTTCCGTAGAACATAGGTAAACCCTCGACTCTTGGCATGCCAACTATACCCCTAGCTCTCATATCACATAACATGGGCATTATCATTTATAACATTTCATATCACTTGTTCTTTCTCTTCTGTCACATACCACATGTAGGTGTAACCATATACTTCATATCATATCACATGTATCACATATTGCATATTCATGTAATCATATAGATCATGTCACATGGCTTATATCATTTCTCATATTCATATATATAGTTCACTTTCACATATCACATTTTCCTTTTCTCCTGTTTTTCATATCATGTCTCTTATAACCACATATGTCTGTCTTATCTCATATCCTATAATTCTTTAGCTTATATCTTATATCACATGTTTATATCATATAACTTATGTAATCACATATACTATTTATACTAGTTCACATAGCTTATTTCACTAACATGTATTCACATGTACATTTCACTTTTCGTATGATTTCATAATCATCTGTCACGTAGCTTATAACACTTCTCTTGTGTTCATCTGGCATGTAACTCATTGTCATCTCTTATTCTCGTATGATTCTCATACACCAAGTATATCACATAGCTTGTTACCTATATAAATATTTTCTCATAACTTATCATCACATAGTTCCCATAACATTTTCCTATAGATTCATAAATCTTTACCATATGACTCATGTATTATATGTTCATTTCCGCTCATATATCCTCTCTATATAACTTATTTACATATTCATATAATCACTTCTGTCAATGTCTCCTCATTTATATATCATTCTTATATTGCCCTATAAATCAATGTTATTTAACTTATCTCACTTTTCATTTAATCTCATAAGTTGGTTATACAATTCCTATATATATATATATATATATATATATATATCTCATGTAATTTATATCCTTTCTCTTGTTATCATATAAATCATTGCCATATAACACATATCATATAAATTCATACCACCTAACATGTAATACAACTAAACATATTCATGTAATATAAACATAATCATACAATCATATATTCAACATATTGGAAACAGACTTGTCGCAAGTCAAATTTCCATACACAATACGTATATTCTAATAGTACGCACTCACCTGGCCTCACTAGTCAATATCGATCTGTTATCTTTCCTTGATCGATCTTAC